GTAAAGTAGTAAGTCAAATGATACCTACTGAGGGTCATTTGTATTAATTAAGGAAGGAAGAGATCCTAATATGATGTGTGCTACTGATATCGACAGATACAAGTCGCATGTACCACCAATCGAAAATGAAATGCCTGGAGGCAGAAGGTTGAAAAAATCGAAGAGAACGAGAAAGAGAACAGAGAATGATTGGTGTGGAGACGAAGGAGCAACAGAGTCTGAGACAATTGGTAGATATTTTGCTAATGAAGTATTACTGTATGGTCCTCATATTTTACTAAGACGTCCTGTAGTTTTTCTTATTCGAATACATTTGATTGTCCCCAATTGTGTTCTCGTTCACTTCACTAATACTGAACCCTGGGGAAACCTACTGGGACATTCCATAGCCCGAGAAAATGTCAAATTAACCTTTACCTTAAAAAGCCGATTATTTAGATATGAAGTAAGTCGATCAGTTACCGGTGACTTAATACCTAAGCATTTGAGCTCGTTGACATGACAAATATAACTGACCCTACAAAAAGCTTTCGAGAGGTCTAGGTAAATGATGTCAACTTTCCCTTTGCGGTCAAGGATGGTCATCCATCTGTCCACCTCAGTCAGCAGGTTGGTTAAACGAAAATGACCCTGAAACCCTGTAGTTGAGGTGAAAAGTAGTTTATCGATAGTAAGTAGTGGTGTGGACCGTCGTAAATCAGGGACGTCATAATTTTTGAGGGTATTGAAAGAAGTGCTGCAGATCGATAGCTTTAAGGTTCAATGCATTGACCTCCTTTGGAAACCGGTGTAGTATGGACCAGCTTCCAATGTTCTGGTACCGTGCTCCAGCTGAGAGAATGTAAGAACATCGCGCTAAGCGCTTTTGCCGAGATTATAGCTGCTTCCCTTAGTATAGAAAAATGGACTATATCTGGAACAGGAGAAGTCCCCTTGTTTAAGCGCTTCAATTTCTAATGCACCAAGTCAGTGCTCATGCTCGCTTTTGGGTTGCAGGTGAAGCTCTCATCGATATAGTTAGTCTGGGATAGTTGAAATTTCAGAACGTACTGTTTTCATACGACTTTGTACTAATCTATGGATTTCTTTGCGTTCTCTTCGTGTTGTTTCGGTATGATTTCAGGTATACTGCAGTGTCCGATGAGGTGTAAGTCAGGCCGCTCGACTGCACTAATTCTAGTCAGTTTGTCAGTTAGTCAATTAGTAAGTCACACAATGTGAGAAGACTGAAGTGTAAGTCTTAAAAAATAAAAACGGATATGATAAAAAGCCTGCTAAGGGGTAGGTCACTAATATCTAATCATATGAGCAATGGGTAAGTTACTAGACATGGATCAGGTACACCCAGTACCAGCGAAATATAAATATATATTGGTGAGTGTGGGTATCTTAACTCTCCACTTGAAACTATTCATTGAGTGGACTGTTTTTTCACGTCGTTTTCTTTATGTTTGACTCGAGGAGTGTTAACGTGATGTTCTATGTGTTCATGTTGAGGTAACTTGGCGTACTGAATATGTTTTATGCCATTATCAAATATACATTTTATTCTCCTAAAACCCCCAAGTGTCTGAACCTGTCTTCGTAAGATGTATTCCTTAGCTCTATCATCCACTCAGCTTCTCGTCTCTGTACTTAGTCTAAGATAGTTACAACTCTTTTGGATAAAGGAAGCTCAATAACGTTGTGTACCTCAAGTTGGTGATGCGGGCACGTTATAAACTGTCACGAACAATTCTAGGATGGCTGCACCAAGTTTTCTCCTCTTCTCTAGGTAGTTTCAAAGCCAAGATAAAATTATCAGTGAAACCTGTCTTTGCAACCTTCTCTACAAGAAGTCTGTGCGGCACCGTGCCAAAAGCCTACGTGAAGTTGGCAAATATTAAATGGACCGATACCTTCAAGTTCGTGCAGATTAACTAACTGTCTTACGATATGAACTTCTAATGGCCGATTAAGCCGTTTAAGGAACCATGCTGCAGAGGTTGTTTTCTGTTTGCCGAAACTTAGGGAAGGAGTACTGGAGTCTCAAGTTCGTAGTATTTGATCAAACGACATAGCATGTTCCACCAGCATCTGGATCATTCGAACCTTTTTGGCTTTGGTACCTGAGAGGAGAACTTACATATCCTTCCAGTCAAGTACTTTGTGTCAAGCTCATTGGAGTGAAACCAGAATGATTCTGCCATCTCCGTTAATTCTGTACTGTAAGGCACTACAGTTTTGAAGTGGGTGTTGATATATATCGCCACTCCCCTTGCTCTATGCACCCTGTGCCATGCCTTACAAGGTCTCTTGGTCGCCCATGACGTCAAGAGACAGCCATGTTTCCGCCAGGACTGTAATCTATAGTTCCAAATGAAAACACACGTTTCTGATCTCTCGTAGTTTACCTCATAGTCTCCTTACGTTGTTGTGCAGGGATTTTATGTTTTATCCCACTACTTGGTGTTCCTCTATGATAGCATCTTTCTTCTGGTTTTTAAGCAGATTGTTGTTTAAAGTGAATTGTCCAGTTCTATGAAGACTGGCCTCTTCAGATGTTTACCTGTATAGGGCCTCCTATTAGCTGTAACGAGGTCTCTGTGTTGTGTGTGGTGGGTTGTTGAATAAAGTCAACTGACACTGAGGCGTGTTTTAGATGGCTTTTCTGTCGTCGTCTTGCCGATCTGCATCGGATCTCGCAACATGTGGTATGAATGTAGAGGTCACTTCTCAAGTTATGCTACGAAAAAAAATCTCAATTGGGTCTCTCGGCCTCTGGATTTCAAAGCTATCAGACGCTGAGGCTTAACAGTCGAATGAGGTAACCAACCAATGAGGTAATCGCTAATTTTCGCAGTGATGTCTTCCATAGAACCAATACCTATGAGCTCAGGTACTTTCTGCCTTCAAAGCGTTTCATATGACCTCCCAGAGGTATCTCCTACTGCTAATGGTTAGTCGTGTCCAACTCGTATTTGAGAAAACCGTTCAACTGATGGTCCGCTAGACACTAGTAAGATTCGTCCTGTAATTTGTGCTGCAACTAGCGTTACTCTTAACGGAGAGGATTCATCTTTCTCTACTTTTTAGCCATTATACAGGCGGCACAGTGTTGCTTAGGTGGTACTCACTCCAAACAGTGCACACTATTTGTTCCAATATTCTATATTAAAAGCTTCCCTCATCTCTAGGAAGCCACTCTCTCGCCCTAAAACGTTCAACAGAATCATGAAGTTTTGTCCAGCAACTTCTTACGCGATTTTTTGCGTTTTGTGAGATATGTTATCGCCATTTTCCCTTCTAACGTCTACTCACCATTCATTGCTTTTAACAACAGCTGGTTTATATATAACAGCCGGTAATTTCGTTGTTGTGTGTGCTCGGGCTGTATCTCTCATAACCGTTACCTTGAACGAAAATAAAGGTGTTGAGATCATAACAAACCGCTATGCATCAGTTGCTATGAAAATTTGTAGTTCGTTTGAATGACTTCAACAATGTCTAGACCACTTGGCTAGATGGTTCAACTGTGAAGCTTTCACTATCCTTCAAACTGAAGTCATCTATTCGGATTTCTCCGTATATTTATGACTGCTTTTCTTGTCAATCTTAATTAGTTGTTATTTACTTTGTCATATCCTCGTCAAGATATTCACGTTGACAATCTCCCTCTTTGGTCAAATACTGGATTCGATATTTGTCCATGACTTTCCTAATTAGTTGAGAAATCGGATCGGTTTTGGTGTGTTTGTTGATTACTGATTAACCTGAGCTCCAAGCCTCGAAAAATCTCTGGTCCTATTCATATTCCTTCTGCCTGAAATCTTCATCTTTTTTTAAAGCTAAACATGTCTAGAATTATCCACGTGGATTGATATAAACGAAAATCCATGACGGCATTTGACAAGTAGTTGATGTTCCTCCAGACAAGAAATAGAGGACAATGACTTAGTCCAGAATAATGCTTATTACAGATGGAGCAGTTTATTTTTTAGGTGATATTTAACTTCTTCTCTTGTTTCATTTTATATTTCGGTTTCCGTGTGACTATTTGAAGAAATTTGTCAGGGTTACAGCTTAACAACCTATTCAAAACAGCCTCGATAATCTTGTTGTGATTTCCGATATGTTCGTTATTTATAATGGGGCGATCCATTTGTTGGTTTCAACACTGGATCTCATTTTTATCAGTGAGTTTAACTGATATTTTTTGATAAGCTTCACCAGATAGCGAATTTCAAAACTGACCATTGAATCTTCTGAAATATGAAAACATAGCCAAAGTAAAATTATTATTTAATGTGATCAAATTTGTTACATTTTCTGTAACTCCGAAAATAAGATATTAATTAGGATATTCGATCCAGCCAACCATTTATAACATAATACTTTTAGTGTTAAGATGACACTTGTGTCAAGTTAATGTCATCTTTTTGATTGACACCTAAATAGACATCGTAAACTTATTTTTAAGATAAAGAATTAGTAATAATTAGAAGGACTTGAGACACATGACATTGATCACCACCCAGTGATCGACCAATTGTGATTACACCTCAGTCCTACAGGAGGTCGATCGGGGACCGGATAGCTCAGTGGTAACGTCTCTGATTGTGAAGCTGGGTGACACAGGATCGAATCCATCAGGGAGCACCAGTTCCCTCAAGATTACAGCTACACCTTGTTGACGAGTGCCAAAATAGCACGAAACCCGGGTCCATGGTTTCCTGTTGACTACCTCCAATCACTCCATCTTATCTCAACATAGTGCACGCAATCTCGAGTCACCTAGACTAAAGACCACATTGCAACTTGGTCGATAGAATTTGATCTATACTAAGAAGGACTTGACATACATGATATTGATCACCACCCAGTGATCAATCAATTGTGATTTAGCGGTGTTAATTCTATAATACCTCCCTCCAATGTGTATTTTAATAATTGTGTCTCTTATGTAAGAAGTGACCATTAAACCTCCTAACATTCATGTTTAATACAATAAATCAAATTTAGTTTCCAAAATCTTAATTTTATCCTATCATCATGATTATTGACATGTACACGAAATAAATACACTAGAATAATCAAAAGAAAAACAAACAAACAAACCAAATACATCAAACAAACAGAAGAAATTGGACAAAAATACTTACTGAAATCTTACAATACTCATTTAAAGTAATGGAGAGAAAAAATGATGGAACAGTTTGTTATTTAATCAATTCCATCCACGCCATAGATACATATTCGGTTATACATTTAGAAAATTAATCCAAACATATGATTACATAAGATTATTAGTTAATCATTATCCTCATAATAAGAAACAAGGGGGGTGGGGCGATTTTTTTAAAGAAAATGTTAATAAGAAATCAGCAGTAAATGTATAAAAATTGTAATAGAAATGAATTAGACAAACAAACAAACAACCAAAAAAGGAACATCTGAATTGATTCATGATAAAAACAAAAACAAATAAACAGATAGAGAAGCAAACACAATGAGAAAACATAAGAAACAATAAACCGAGACTAGTATAACTTATATTGAGATCTTTATTTCATAATGAATAATATGTAGTCTGTAGTAAGAATACTTTAAAGATCATATTATGAAGTATAGTTCATTTGAAATTAAACAGTTATACTGATACTTTAATAATATACTTATATCACAACTCCTATTTCACATCAGTCTTGATGGTGTTTCGTCTTTTTTTTGTGTGTGTTCCTGTTCATTTTGCACAGTATTCACTTTGCGAGGTAGGAGTACAAGTAAAAAGTTAAGTTCAAAGAGAGAAACAGACAGACAGAGAGGAATCGGGAAATAAAATGATGAGAATGAATAAAAATTAAAAAAAAAAGACACCAAAAAAACTGTACTGAACAATCACTAAAAAGAAGGAAACAAGATAGAAACTTTTCTTTTCAAATGTTAGTTGTACATAATGTGTAATGAAATAATTATTGAGCATTGATTTATCAATAGTTGGCTTGAAACACAAAAAGCTCCGTATTTATCATTTAAGATGGATTGATTACTTGATTCGATCACGAAGATAATCATTGATTTAAAAAAAAAAAAGAAAAGAAAGAACAATAAACTATGATTATGTAAGAATATCTGTCATTCACATGGACTTATTACATTTTCATTAACTTCAACATTTGTAGGAAGTGGAAGTAGTCGTTTATTGGAAATTGAAGACTATAACGAAAAAAAGAAAATTAGTTTGAAAGAATTTTAATTCCATATTGATAATTTAACGAGAAATATGAACACTAAGAAATAATTTTAAAAAGATTTATCAGTATGGGATTGTGGAGATTATTACGTTTTGGATTGAGATCATGGATTGGTTGTAAACCTGGAAGCACTGAACGACCATTTTGTGCTATTGTTGAACTCTGTCAGTAGTGCGTATCCACGACCCCGTTCGCGGGATTCGAACCTAAGGCCTTTGGTTCCACACGTGAATGCTTAACCTCCTAAAAATTGAACCGGCATCCAGCCGTGTTCATGTCTAACTTCAATCAATCCATGAAATTGCGTGACAATCTTCAACTGTCTGAGGTAGATACCTGTCTCTACTTGACATGGATTAAGTCCACTGGTCACGGCATCTCACTAGAGTTCCGAGAATTCCCTCACGAAGCTAGTCACTAGTGAGCGCATGGTCATTATTAGTATGGGGTTGTGAAGATTATTAGGTTTTTGATTGAGATTATGGTCGCGCAATTTTGTGAATTGATTAAGGTTAGACATCAACACCGTTGGATGCCTGCTCAATGGTCTAAAGGTTATGCGTTCATGCGCGAGGCCGAAAGCCCTAGGTTCGAATCCCGTGAGTGGGATCGTGGATGCGTACCGCTGAGGAGTCTCACAATAGGACGAAACGACCGTCCAGTGCTTACAGGTTTTCAATGGTGGTCTAATACCAACCGGTTCATGATCTCAATAAAAAGGTAATTTGTTCATCAAACAAATAAATTTTGAATAAAATTACAATATACGAAAATTGAATCGATCGAAAAAGTCGGATTACTATGTAGGGTTTAAGCTTATGACTTAATCAAAAATTACTTCAATGAGATGAGTCGTATGATTTAGTTCGGTAGTTATTCATAGCTTCAAAGAAGTAGTCGTTTAGTTGTTGGCTACATTCTAAAGAACATAAATTCCAATTATTGGATCTATCGAGAAATGAAGATATATTCATCTATAACTGTTGTATTGATGAAGTATGCTCATCTGTCTATGGTAATCAATCTTTCTTGTACTTTGAAGTATTTTTTTAAATCTGAAAGAAATGTATTCTATGAAGGTGGAAGATATGAAAAAACTATAATTGAGTCTTTCAATCACTTAAAACCTCTTTTAGATTTTATAGTTAGCCGAACAAGTGTTGAGCGTTATAGACTACATAGAAGAAAGTGCTCTGTTGTGTAAATTTTAAAGGTCCAAAGGCAATCATATGAACTACATTCTTGGTATTTGAATCAAATATTGACTAATGTTGATAATAATCATACGATCGAAAAAACAAATTGTAAACAAAACATTTTTTCTGGTTGGCGATGGAAATGAATAGGACATACATTACGCAAATCATCAAACTGCATTACGAGGAAAGCCCTAATTTGGAATCCTGAAGGGGAGCGGAAAAAAGGAAGCCCAAAGAACACATTACGTCGGGAAATAGAAGCAGATATGAAAAGAATGAATAACACCTGGAAAGAGCCGGAAAGGATTTCCCAGGACAGGGCTGGATGGAGAGTGCTGGTGGGTGGCCTACGCTCCTCCACGAGGAGTTACAGGAGTAAGTAAGTAAGTCAACAAAGTATACTTAAAGACTTTATCAAATGTAAATTTTAATTATCAGATTTTGTCTTAATGTGACGTTGGTGCAATTGGTTATTGATGTTCAACGCTTCTATTGTTAAATATAAGTGAATCTCATATTGTTTATTAAGTTACTGGTTCACTTTTAGATTCACTCGTACACGTGGATTTGTTAACTATTCCCTCCAAACATATAAAGTACATCAAGGTTGGACTTAAGCCTATCAAAGACTGAACATTACGCAATTAATGACTTATCGTATTTTCCTCCCTCCTTATTTCTGAGGAATTACATATATACATATATACTTCCAGACCTAGCCCGTCAAATTCAGAATATTTTAATTAAACCTACCTAAATTCCATAAGTAAAACTTACGACTGTTTCAATCTTATCGCTTTCTTGTATACTGGAATAAGTTGTAGATTTCAATGTACTGTCTTCATCTGTATTTGCTGTTGTAGTTGTAACCTGACTGCTTCGTCTGGGTGGTGGTGTAGGTGCATTATAACCAAATTCACTTGTTTGTGGGAAATCCAAACTGCTCAAACTTGTGTCTGACTTTGTTTCTCCTGTAATTTAATTTAGAAAATTAAGAGATTTAATAGGATTACCTTTAACTTGTGAAGTAAACATTGGTTCCGATGAATTATTACTTGATGTTGTAGAACCTTTTACAGTGGCTGTTGATAGTCCCGACTTAGGTGTAGCAATTTTACTAACATGTGGTGATTTTGAACGAGAAAATCTTTCTGACATTCCACCAAGTCTACTTAATGGTGATGAATTCGATCGATCAGTTGGTGGTACTTTATTTTTACTCAATTCAGAATCATCTAATGTACAATTTAAACGGACCACTTCAGAACCATCATCTACAGTAACTGTTGTATTAAACATAACACCACGTGATCCGCGACTACTTAAACGATTACGCTGTTTTGGAGAATTTGAATTAGGCAATGGATTAGAAGTAGAACTTTTAAGAATACTTGTTGGCATTATTGTTGATTGAACATTTTCTAATGTACTATCACTACTTTCATCCATCATTGAAGTAATTGTATCCGGATTAAAACCTTTAGATGATTGATGTATTTTAATCAATTCATTATTTGATGAATCTATTGTACTTGTAGTATTTGTAGAACTAATTGAATCATCTGAGTAAGCAGCTAATGGTGCACGTTTTTCATCTTTATTATCGATTGTAACAGTGGATGTAGTTATCATTGATGATGTTTTAAATTCTTTTTGTGGTATTGAACTTTTATCTGATTCTAAAACTGGTGGTATAATATTTTTATTTTGTGAAGATTTTTGTCCTTCAAGCGCTGTAAATACCATCATATTCGTGGGAAGATTATCATTTGAGAAAACTCGTCTTTTTTGAATAGCCAGCATTTCTTGCTTCTAAAATACAAAAATATTACATAGATTATTACCTAATACTGTAGAAAATTTCAGTAGATTCTTAAATGGAAAATATAATTTATTTAATAGTTAGATTATTATCAGAAGGGGTTGTGTGGAGATTTTAGAAATGTCAATAGTTGAAATCATGAGTCAATTGAAGCTAGGCCACCATGGAAAACCTGGAAGAACTGGACGGCCGTTTCTTCCAAGTATGGGACTCCTTAGGTCCTGGAATCAAATCTCGCAGGGGGGCGGGATCGTGGATGCTCACTGCTGAGGAGTCCCATACTAGGACGGAACGGTCGTTCAGTGCTTCCAGGTTTTCTATGGTGGTCTAACTTCAAATGACTCCTGATTTCAACTATTGAAGTTAGATTATTGTTAAGGAATATTCTATTTATATGAAACATGAAGAATGTAACAAGTTATGAATGCGAATGATGGTCAAATGTAACGTATCTAATTGAGCCCATATCAGAAGGAAAAAGGTCAGATGGAAAATGTTATATCCCGATGAGAATAATGAATTGTAACTGTTGGGATCCATTTATAGATCAATACTATACGTATATTTTTATTATATAATTGTTAAATAACTAAACTATTCATATTTGTGTTCTTCTTATTCTAAGCTTCATTTTGACCTATGAACTATTATTATACCATTTACCATTCTTGAGTTATGTCCTGTCTATCAATTACTATCTCCCATATTCAAAGCCACTTTTGGCTAAATCTTGTATAAATGTTACTTTCTATCTTATGGTACGATCTAGTCTGATTGTTTGGTATATAAACCCAGTATGTTTGAAATAAATGATTTATATCGCGGAGGCTGAGATTGGTGTTCTGGACTTAACAGGTAGGGCTAGACAGGAATCATGACCGAAAATGACTCTAGACTGCTCGTACAGGTTGTATGCATCATTGGTCCGGTCGATAATTCACAGTTCTCTAATTGGCGGTAGTATCATTACGTTATACATTAATAGAACACAGGGCACAAGTTATAACAAAAAAACGATCCACTTTTCTCATAACATTCTATTTGTCTATCTTCAAGTAAAACATGAATTTATCCATGTAATCCCAAATAAAACAGTTGGATTATACCTTATAACGTGATGAGAATAATATAAGAATAAAACTAGTATAAAACTTTCAGAATTGTAGAAAAATATCTCTTAATGATTGTTTTAATGATATTTGTCATTTGATGTTTTAAATAGTGAAATTAATTTCAATCATTCGTCCAGGAGATTTTTATCTCTCTCTTGCAACAGATAACTTTTACATTTATTGTTCCTTCAATGAAGATAAGAAAAATGAAAATCTCAATAAGACAATCATATAACTACTTCGGTTCAAAGTGTATCGATTAAATGTTTATTGTTAAGTCAGGTTGTTTAAAACATGGGATATATTTCTTGATAGAAATATATTCATTCCGATTGAATGGTCTAGGACAAGTATCTAACTTTAAAAGAACTGTCAAATAAGTGTATAGTAAAGCTTAAAAAGTCCTTTGTATGTTTATTAAAAGATGATCGATTTGTAAGTTCATTGTTGTTTTTTTTTACAACGAATTATTTTATACATAAACCTTGAACTTTCCAAGAATCACCATGAACATCTTCAAATAAGTTTGAGTTTATATACAATATAGATGTTTACAATGATTTTGAGGCTAATAAAATGTAATTTCCTTAAAAATATCCAAAGGTATCATAAAAATAGTTTTGAAGTACTGGATGACAGTTTCGTCCTATTGTGGGACTCCTCAAAAGTGCGCATCCATCGATGACTAATGATCTCAACTATTAAACTACTATAATATTCACAAAAACCCCTTTCTGAAATTAATAATAACCCAATAATAAAGACGTTTTAATAATATCTTGATTGAATAGTCTGTACACGGACGATAGCTTTCATTCCATAATATGTACTAAATCAGTTGACTAGGTACTTTAACTCCTGATAAATATTTAGTTGTGATTGAAGGCATAGATCAGTAAGTAAATTATTTATACTGACATCTTAATCGACTGTTCTATTATCAGTCACTTTAGGATTTATCGATCAATACTGTTACCAAAACACATTTGATATGAATTGACACCAATCAAATTTTAGAACATTCTGTTTCTACAACTATTTAGCATCAGATATAGTATATCACGATGTCATGTTATTTAGTCTACTGACCACAGTGCAACTTGCCCGATGGTTTCTGATTGGCACCGATGTCTAGATTTACAAACCTCGTTAACTACCAGTGATCAAGTTGCATAAACATCTCAATCCTAAAGAAGATCAGTTTGCGACTAGAATAGCCTATTGATAATATCTAAGGTTATCTCATTGGATAATACGAGTTTGAATCCCATGGAGTGCAACAGTTTCCTCGAAGATGCAGATACACCCCTCTGACAAGCGCCAAGTAATATGACTGAATAAGTACCGGAATGACTAAGGCATCTTAATTAAGATCCTAATCATGAGGTCGATAGACAAAATTCCAGTCGACCGGATTTCAGGAAATAGAAATCGCTTAAAATATTAGACGCTAAAAATTCTCGCTGTTTTACAAAATAATTTACCGAAACTATTATTTTTTCATCACTAAACGTGTGATTAGATTTGTTCGAGTATGTTCAAGATGAGTTGATCTATGAATGAGGGAATCTTCCCAGGTTGAGGTGGGTAAGATATGTGTTACACATGCCCAGCAACAGCTTATTTTGACAGACAATCTCGGATGATATAGGAGTGCGTTTGAAGAGAACTGGGGGCAACGAAATCAAATTATCTTGTACTTTTCTATTCCACAAATCCATATATTTTAGAATCATATTATTTATACCTAGTGTTTTCTACTTCCACTAATACTGTTAATACTTCTACTACACTTGAATTATTTATCTTGTTGTACTAAAGTGATGTAACAACTTGATCTAGTGCACATACATGTCAAGTCCTACGTTGCTTAGGACTAAAATGACTAACTGACTGATTTATATGGTCGATTATGGAATAAGATGGTGGTTATGAAGTAGTCCATATTCACATCTTCCTATTTATAATGTCAAAAATGAATTTAAGTAATTTAGAGAAATAGGATTGACCAACTCAGCGTTAACAAATCTAAGGAAATTCATATTCAAATTAAAAATATGTCATATATATATATATTACTCTGATTGCTTGTAGTCGTTTCTCTGAATCTGGTTGAATATTTTGTACAGCAGCATATAACCGACTGCGTTCAATACTTCCTCGATCAGCAGCCGCTCGATTGACAAAACCACCAAGATGAGTAAAACGTCTGGGGGAATTCGAGCGTTGTCGATTTTGTATATTTACAATTGCAAGCCTTTAAAATATAGATATTAAAAATAGTTAAAATGTATGTATGATATGAGTTTATTATTATTGTTATATGATAGCTAAAAGATAAATGTATGCTACTTAGAATTTTCTCATGTTTTGGAAATATTATTGGTTTCTATTCTAGACTGATTGATGTAAAATCAGTGGTCTACAGGTTAAGCGCGTTCACGCGAGACACCCAGGGTCCTGAGTTTGAGTCCAGCGTGCAGGATTGTGGGTGCCTACTACAAACATTCATTTTGTTTGGGACTCAACAGCTGGATGTGTTTATAACCCTTCCTAATAACCTTAAATCAAATGAGATAATTGGTAACTATCTGAACTCAGTTACTCAATGATCAATCTATTGGTATTTGAAGAGGAAGATATTACATTCGAGTCTCGTTGTAAACATCAATACTGTGATGTAGAGATATTCATGTGATGAGATCCAAATAAGACGAAACGTAGGTCCTTAATTCCACTACTAGTCATATACCAAATAAACTAATACATATCTTTTGGTTAGAACTACTTTCATTTGTTGAATATACTATAATCAGTAGAATTAGTGAATAGATATCACAGTATCAAAATGGTTAAATAAACACTTGAAAAAAACTACTTACAATCTACTTATATGCAAAAAATTATTCGTCTCATTTCCAATATCATTCTGTCAATTTAATCAACCTTTATTTAAATTACATTTTGTCATGGAATGAAATGAAATGGAATATTCTATAGAACACAATAAAAATTCACTTAGAACATTTTTCATGGGACTTTTATTTTGAAGGGGAAGAAAAAATAAAATAAAATTTCGACCAGATTGAATAAATTTATAAAACTTTTAATTACTATCTCTTTAGAAAAAAATAATACTAACATAGAAATGGTCCCAAATATTGATTGAGATCATGAACCAATTGATGTTAGACCACCATTGAAAACCTGGAAGCACTAAACGCCCGTTTCGTCTTAGTATGGGACTCCTCAGCAGCGCGCATCCACGATCCCATCTCACGAGATTTCAACACAGGAACTATCAGTCTCGCGAACAAACGATTAACCTCTAGATTACTGAGCCGGACGGCCGGCCGACCAACATCCAAAGGTCTTAATGTCTAACTTCAAATAATCCACCAAAATCAGCGACACACCTACCATTGTCTTCACTGAGTTATTATCTCACAACAGACCCAGTTGAACTCCATTGGTCACTACTTCTCACTAGAACTACAGGAAATACCTCTTGAAACTAGCTAGTCACCAGTGCGTATATGATGATTATTATTATGAGAAGGGGTTTTGTGGAGATTCTAGTAATTTTTATAATTGAATTCATGAGTGGATGTGGATTGCTGAGGATTCCCATACTGGTACGAAACGACCGTCTAGTGTCTCTAGATTTTCCATGGTGGTCTAGCTTCAACTGACTCATGATCTCAACTATTGAAGTTACTACAATCACCACAAAAACCCCTTCTGATATGAATATTAATTTATTCGAAATTTTTTTTTGAAAGATGACGTCTTTTTGAATATATAGATAATCTTAGCGACACAATGATATCGATTGATTGAAGGAGTCTTATGTACGGTAGTCTAATTTTTGTCAACTATATTCATCATACAAAAAAAATGGAAACGATAATTAATTCATAATTCAATGTTGAAATTTGTAAGAGAGAATAGAATGGAAAATTTTTATTCATGAAGTATCAAGAGTTTTCAAATGTTTTTTCCTCTCTATTTAGTGAATGAGTCTTAAATGAGAGAGAGAGTATAATTTTCATTGAGGACTTCATTTCAAGTTCCAAATTTCAATTTATTTAGTTACTTTTTTATCTGTCAGGTTGAGATGCTCTACAGTAGCAGTATGTTCATAGAAGATATATCTAGATAGACTTAGATGAATAAAACGAAAGTCGAAAAATAGAAAAATCACACTCTAATATTTAGCGCTCATCCAATGAATGAAAAGAAAAATACTAGAAAACGCTTGATGTCATCGCACGTTTATTCAATAGTGAAAAAAATGTATGGTTAATCTAACACCAAATAGGTCTGTCCAAAATAATAGACATTCAATCTTTTCAAGTACAAAGAGAATAAAATCTGTCAAGTAATAATAATGACAGTAACAATAATTGCGTTTTCTATTTTGTGAAAACTAGACGTATATGAAATAAAGATGTCCATTTACCGAACACTAATAATACTATGTATTTTATTACTCAAAGTTACTCTATCCGGTAATATTTGGTGGAAGTACGTTTTCATTGGTCAGTGAGTGTCGATAGACAGATCTGTTATCGTTCATCATCTGTATCATTATGTATATACATGTATATATTTCTCTTTCATACTTTATCACAATCTACTCCTTTTCTGGTCATTATCTAGCTCTTAGCCATTGTTGAAAGGACAATTGAATACAAATGTGTCATTTGATCACACAACTCTAAAGTTATATGGAAGCATTTTTGATCATACAGATAGTTCTACAATATTTATGGAGGAGGATGTTAAAATATACACCGAAAATCAGTAGAATATAGAAAGAAAATATACAGAATTTATTCATTTCACTTTGTTGGGATGATCCAGAAAATTGCTTGCACAAGACAAGCAAGAATCAGGAAACACTAAGAAGCGTTTCATCCAATCAGCATTCACTTGAAGTCTTAGCCAAAAATACCAAGGAAGCGAAATGTCACATGCAGAGGCTCTGATTGGTAGGCTGCTACATTGCTACTATGTTTAGTAGCATTCCAGAATCTTCTAGCAACCCAAGGACATTTAAAATATTATAAAAACCCTGTATTTTCTGTACCAAAATGAACCTTGGAGTAAACTACTTCTCGCATACTTTGAGTCTTCTCTCTCGTGTTCAGGTCGCTGTATAATTCTAGCTTGGGGGTTACCGAATAGCTTAGGAGACGAATATAGCGTTCAATCTGCAAGACTTATCACACTTAGAATTAATAAAACAAAAATACAATATTATTTATTACCGTTTTAAAGTTAATATTGTGCCTTTAATACGTTTACATTTTTCGTTGACATCCTTCAATTGATATAACTGGTCATCAAGGACACTGCAAACAATAAAAAAAGTATCACAAAGAAGCAACCAGTAAATTATGAGCTAAATAAGTAAGTATAACTAGCTGTGAATAAACAGCACAATGAGTATTACGTTGTGTTATATCCCGATAAGAATAACGAATGGTAACTGTTAGGATCTATTTATGGACCAATACTATGAGTATATTTTTTATCGTATAATTGTTATGTAACTAAATTGCTTATATTCATGTCCCTCTTATCATAAGCTTTATTTTGACCTATGGACTATTACTATACGATTTACCACTCTTGAATTATGCCCTGTCTATTTATTACTACCTCTCACATCCACAGCCACATTTGGCTAAAAATTGTACAAATGTCATTTTCCATTTTATGGTACGATGTGGTCTGTTTGGTTCGTATATATACCCAGTATACTTGAAATAAATGATTCATATTGCAGAGGCTCGGATTGGTGTTCTTGACTTAAAGGCTCTAGACTGCTCGCACGGGTTTTATGCGTCACTGGTTCGGTCGATAGTTCGCTGCTCTCTCATTGGCGGTATCGTTGCGTTATATAATAAACAGGGCACACAGGTTCACAAGTTATAACACATCTATATCTAAAGATTTTAACAATTGAATAACTAAAAATGTCTACATTTATGGGGTTGTGATTCCTTATTATTATTATTATTATCCAAGACTGTGATTGGTCAATCGCTATTACCATACGTTTATCCTAAGTGGACTGCCTCGATAGAGAGTAATGTCATAAGTTTTAGTAAATTTCGTCTATCCCTAGTAGGGGAATCCAGAACTCGTATTTCGTCCGATTGGTAACTCGTAAGATAAATGTACCTGCATCCTATTGTTCAGAATTTAGTCGAGTATCTTTCGTTTCAAACACCAATGACTTGTTCACTATAAGCTATTCAGTTCAAATAGCCACTAACTTGTTTAGTGGATAGAAGGTATTATTGAGTGTTTATGATTTCCCGTTGTTGATGTTCAGAACTGAAATCGACCCGTCTCTTTGGCTATATATCTACTATTATGCATTTGGATAATTTTTAATGAAATTGAACTTTATTTAACTTTTGCAAGAGAGAGAGTAATATAGTTTGATTTCTAATTCTGATAAGTCATTTCGCTATACATTCCCCCGGATACTAAGAAATATCTTAAGATGTTATTTAGTAGTGGATAATAACTAGTGTTTTGAAAACTTTAAGTTAGGGTAACTTGATGTGCACTCTTGAATATCTTGGGAAGAATTTCCATCAAAACCTGTCATAATTGGATAACACTGGAAATCAAAGAACACGCAAAAGCTCCTTCGTTATATATATATAACTTGGACAAATATATCTGACCTAACAGCAATCATTTTATTTGTAATTAACTTTGAAAGGAATTTTCAAAAGTGCTAGCATCAAGTCGTTGTCTGAACAGTATATCAAGATAAAAGCAAGACATGAATTCCTTGATGAGATCCGATGAAAGCGCTATGTCATAGAATCAATCAGCTAATTCCGACTCAGTGACTCGATTGTAATGAGTTTACAGCAAGATCTAAATCTATTCGAAGATTTGAATTATAGTTTATTTTATTTATATATTGAACAAAAGGTGAATATTATTTTTAATAAGAAGTTAATGAGTAGGTACAATTTCTGGTATTTCTTGAATAAACAGACAGAATAAATGAGAATGAATTTCCTCGATAATGAAGCCAAGTGACGTAGTTTGAACTTTAATGGGTTAGATAGATTCTCTCAAGATCGTAAAACTTGTGGACAAGTGCAAATTAGAACAAAACGTATGTCAGGTGAGATTTCTTGCTGACTACCTCCAACCACCTAACATCTCAGCATAGTGCACGCCATTTGGAATCGCTCAGACTAATAACCACATTGTAATTTGATCGAAAGGATTCTATCAGTACAAAAGAACTAAGAAAATATATATTGGTCACTACTCGACTAATCAATCATAAATGAATAATGGTATTTACCTTTTTTGAATTTCAATAGCTTTTACTTCCATTTCTTCACGACTATTCAATATTTGTTGAATTCCTGGGTAATGACCTATTATTCCATAGATAAAATGTACACAATACAATTCTTATTGACAACAGCATCATTAAGAAAAAATATAATGTAATTTAATCATAAGGTCAAATTTTTATTACCTTTCGAATAACACTTAATTAATTATCAGTATGGGGGTTGTGGGGATCATTAGGTTTTTGATTGAAATCATGAACTGATTGATATTAGACCACCATTGAAAACCTGGAAACACTGGACGAATGTTTCGTTTTATTGTTGAACTCTGTCAGCAGTGCGCATTCACTATCCCGATTGCGGGATTCGAATCCAGGGTCGATAGAGACAGGTATCTACCTCAGTACAATGGAAGATGGTAGAGCAATTTCGCGGATTGGTTGAGGTTAGACATTAAGACCGTTGAATGCCGACTCAGTGGTCTGGAGGTTAAGCGTTCTTGCGCGAGACTGAAGGCTCTGGGTTTGAACCCCGCGAGTGAGATCGTAGGTGCGCACTGTTGAGGAGTCCTACAATAGGACCAAACGTCCGTCCAGTGCTTCTAAGTTTTCAATGGTGGTCTAACATCAATCGGCTCATGATCTCAATCATAATTAATTAACCATAAATGTATATAAATATTTATGTAGAAAAGTGAAGATTCGGTAAATTGACGTTCTACTTTTATTATTAATATGATTCTTTGAAAGTATCTAAACGAAGACAGATTGTAAGTTTAAGATAAATGTATAATGCATGACATATATTTATAAGGAAAAAAATATCCTGGTAAAATCTGAATTTTCTCATTCACTTTAATAATACAATACAGCTACAAACTAATGTTTTAAAATTGTATAGTTCAATTTATGAATCAATTGAAACTAGACCACCATGGAAAATCTGGAAACACTACACGGTCGTTTCGTACCAGTATGGGAATCCTCAGCAATCCACATCCACTCATGAATTCAATTATAAAAATTACTAGAATCTCCACAAAACCCCTTCTCATAATAATAATCATCATATACGCACTAGTGACTGGCTGACTTCAAGAGGTATTTCCTGGAGTTCTAGTGAAAAGCAGTGACCAATGGAGTTCAACTGGGTCTGTTGTGAGATAATAACTCAGTGAAGACAATGGTGGATGTGTCACTGATTTTGGTGGATTATTTGAAGTTAAACATTCAAACCGTTGGATTCCGGCCGGTCGGCCGTCCGGCTCAGTAATCTAGAGGTTAATCGTTTGTTCGCGAGACTGATAGTTCCTGTGTTGGAATCTCGTGAGATGGGATTGTAGATGAGCGCTGCTGAGGAGTCTCATACTAAGACGAAACGGGCGTTTAGTGCTTCCAGGTTTTCCATTTTGGTCTAGCTTCAGTTGACTAATGATCTCAACTATAAAAATTACTAAAATCTCCACAAAACCCCTACTGATAATATTTAACAAATAATTTTAAAAATATATAACTGGTGTGTGTTTATTTGTGACCTATCATTCACATTTATTGTAATTCGTTTTAATTAGAAGACCCTATAGTTATATGGTTTGATACTGTTAACCCATAATCCGATCTTTGCAGACAGTTTATAATAGAATTGAAATGGTGAGGATACGCACAGATATATTGATATACAAGTAAGATATTAATATCATCTATTTCAAAATCATCAAGTACAATCATTATCCAATTATTATTTTTTATAATTAGAGTAACAATGGAGCTTCTTCAAGGGTGATAATCGTTTTTATTGTTGCATTATAAACAAGTTCGATCACTCCAAGTGGAAGATTCACACTACCTATTAGGTTAGACATGGAAAATTACTTAGTGCATTATTTAGCCGTATGTGGGATTATTTAGGAAAATAACAGAACCTTGATGCCCTCTCAAAGCCAGGTTACTTAAACAGTTGATAAGAAATATTGAGTAATAGTACAACCGGTCTCCAACTCCTCTCTTCAGTTGCTTAAAATTTTTAAACTTTATGAATGTGAAACTGCAAAAAGACGTTTCACCACTAGAGAGATTGGAAAGGCAATAAGTAACGTCAAATGAAAGAAACCACCATAACTTGACGGGTTAACTACGTAGATCTCCATGGTTAGTAATCTTAATTTATTATAGATACTGACTGTGATATTAAATACAACCTGAGTCAAGAAATAATCCTTTACGATCGATCTCTATCTCTTAACGTCCCAGTCTATAGAACGGTACATAAACTCTCTTGAAATAACCAAAAAATAATCAATTTATCTAACATGTTGTCTTAAAGTCGAGCTTCCATAATCATCCAATAATTAATTTAATGATACAATTGATCTAGATAAATTTCTTATAAAACGTTAATGAACACTAGTTATAGAATATAACTAAAGTTGATTAAAAGTATAGATTGGTTTTCAGTAAATAAGAATCTTGGAGTTACAAATCAGATATTGTCTTGTGATATTCCAATGGATTATTGAAACATGAAGCAATCAGTAAGAGACGCATTCACAATCGCTATAGATTTACGTTGTTCATTCCAATCCATTCGTTAATATCGTATCAGCCAATTACATCAAATATAACGCATACAAATTAACTATCAAATGCATAATCTCATAATTGTAATCGCTGTAAGTTCAAAGGGTTCATTTTAGGACCAATTAGTGCATAACTATAAGTATGATACAATATTCTTGTATCTGTTAACATGTATAATCAATATCAATCTATGATAATAAGCTAATTTTTAAGTTTTGATCTTGCCTTACTGAACATCAAAATTGATAAAAGTCATCACTTAGTAACTTGAAAACAGAATGTTCAAATTACAAATTACAATCGAAGAATCACTTCCAGACATAATCAGTGAATAACACAACCATATATATATATATATATATATATATATATATATATATATATAAATTACAATAATAATCCAACTACTTACCACATGCCAAACTAACAGTTGAATTAATTGAATCCAATCTATTCTCTAATGTTTGTACATATGGTAAATTAATACGACAACGATGTTGTAATACATCATTACCAGTTTGTTCAATGACACATTCAAGATCATGTAATTGTTCACTTAAAATAGTATTAATTTTATACATTTCCTGTAATGATCTATCTAAATTTCTTCGTTCATTTTGAATAATTTCTAATTGTGGATCAAGAATAGTATGATAGACTGATGTTTGTTGATTGGATAACTTCTGTGTATAGAAGAAATTGAAAAGTGAATAAATTTTAGAGAAAAAAAACCATTCTTCATTTAAATAAAAACAGATGAGAAAGTATAGAGCAGAACGTTTTTTTTTCAGAAATTATTACCGCCAAATGCCCTAGCACGGTCGAGAGTGAAAAGAGTCAGCTCTCTTTATAGAAATACTCTCATATGGCCACGTGCATACAACCATTGTCAGGGAAGTTCTACCCACTGCCTTCTTGCGGCATTACTGTTGTTTACGAAATCGAGAAGACGAAAAGCGAATGTCCGGTGGGGGCTTGGACCGGGTTGGTCGATACGGAGGACCCACCCAGGGGAGTCGGAAAACCCTGATTCCAAACCAATACTCCAGGATCCTGAAGGAACAAATGGCGTATGAACCTATTGTAAGTCACCGGCTACCACGGATCTGCCTCTCACGACGTTGCTCCACTGCCTTATGGACTAGACCCTTAGGTCAAAGGCTCCAGGTGTGGCCTCCTATGAAAACCACCTGCTTCGGGTTGGGCACCCGGGAAGTATCCCAGCCCTCACATAAACCGAATGATTTATGTGGCGCATATCTTGTACTACTGTTTATGTGTTTAAATAAATAAATAATAAACAATGAAATGAATGAATATCAGCCCTTGTTCACTAACCTACTATTCGCGTAATATATTATTATGAGGTAAGATTTATCTATGAATTTATGGATTCTTAGAAATTATAACAAATTATAACAAACATCTTCATGGATAATCAGAAGTATAGTGCTCAAGTGTTCGGCACGTGGCAGAAAAAAATAATTTCTGAAGCTTAAGATAACAAACGGAATATTGTTGTGGTCATAACAAAGAAATTCATTTCAGAGAGTTATTTGATTATTCACGTTAGCGCTAAGGACTGTGACTGATCAGTTTCTTGAGATATTTATATCTTGTGTACATTGCTTAGATTGTTGTAACGTGAGATACTGAGGATTGGAGGTTAGAGAATTATCGATCGATCTCAAGACGCGTAAGACACGCAAGAACGACCTAGAGCCTGATTGGTCCCTCTTCCCTGTCTAGCCCAGCCAGTTGAGTCCGGAACGCAAGTCCCAGCCTCTGAGATATGAATCATTATATTCCAAGCATACTCCGTTTATATACCAATCAACCAGACCTCATCGTACCATAAAATAGAAAACAACATTTGTACAATATTTGACAAGTGAAATAAACATTAACCAATAAGAAATGTCCATTTAAAGTCCAAGGACACCATTAGACTTAACAGGATAATTATTGGTATATTTTTCTGAATATCCCAAGATATTGCCGTTAATTCACAAGCATATCAATCAACGTTGGATAGTGGTTACCAGTGACATCTATGGAGAGCATCCCATTCTATTTAGGACTCTTCAGCTGGATGTACCTGCACCCTGATATTGATATTTACATCGGGACTCTAACACAGTACCTTTCGTTTCAAATGCTCAACGCGTTATCCACTTATTACTGAGTGCAAATAAATAATGAAGTAGTTTTTAAGAGATTAACTTTTTGCTTACAAATCGATTAAACTTTCAGTAGTTAGATTTAACTTAATTTAAAGATGAATTTTGTAAAACACCTACAGATGCATGTCCACACATAAGCTTGTTCACGTTTTAAGCAATGAAAAGATTTAAGGATTGAAAAATTATCATAGTATTGTTTCTGTATATTTATATAATAAATATGTCACAGTGTTGTGAACGAGAACATAGGTGGGAACAACGTATGCAACCTAATACGAAATTACCGAGTTCTTTGGTAAAATACGCAAATCATACGTTCAATACTTCATCTGCAAATCCTCGATCAATCGCCTCAAACTTTAATGTTTCTTCGTTGCCACAACAATTACTCTCTGTTGCCGTTCTCTTCTATGCGATCTTCCCAACCTTCTGCCGCCAAGAATTCCACAAGTGATTGGCGTTATATACTACTTATGTTGACATAAGTAGCATACACCACAACTACCAAGCTTGGAAAAAAACGAAGTTGTTCAAAAGTGAAAGATGTGGCTATTCTTATGTCAATATCAAGAGTACTGTAGTTGAAACTACCAACAAACCGGTTGACGAATCTACAGATTTTGATCTACTGAAATGGTTTTGGTTAGCGTGAACTATAACTGTATATTAATTATAAACCTGTTAATCAAATTTTATACTTTAAATATGCTGGTTAGACGCACATACTGTAATTTTTTATTTACGGAGCACTGGGATTCTGTAATTCACTTATATAATCACATGAGTTTTTGAGTCAGATAGATATAGTTTATATTGACTTCTTTATGCTGATATCCTGACAGACGTTTGTAGATAGGCTTTGTATACGCGCCAATTAGACTTAATATATCAAGTTATTTATAGGCTCAAGCATAGCAACTCAAAGACCATTTCAATGACTTATTTAATAAATATCTAATAATTAAATAGTTTACATCAAAGAAGTTCATTATTCACAATTATGATCAAAGAAACTGTTATTATCATTATGAAAACCTTATACAAAAAATCAACCATATTTATTCGCTTTCCAACAATCAATTAATCAATCAACCAATCAGTCAATAAATCAATCATTATTAATAATCATCATAAAACTTACTGTAACAATTTTATTACAATTATTCATATCCAATGTAAATTTACGATTGAATTCATTGAATATTTGATACAACAATTTTATTGATTTGCGCATTTCTTCAACTTGATAAAGTTTTGTCTTTAATAAGCTTAGTTTTTTATCACCTTTTATTCATAGTTTGATGAAAAACAAACAGAGAAACAGAAGAAAGACGTTAATTCAAAGAGAAAAAAACAAAGAGGAGTAACCAAAAGAATATATTATTGATCAATGTATAATGAATAGATTCATACACACGTATATCAGTTCGAGTTGCCGTACCACATTTGCACACCGATACAATTGTCGATTCGAATCCGATTGTGGTAGAGTTAGTAAACCTTTGAGCGGTAATCAGAAAGATTAGGCTTTGAAGATGTTATTCAAGGAGTATAATCCAGTGAAATAAATTTAGAGAGAAAAAAAGGATATAAAGAGTTCAAAAGATTAGAATTTGAGAGAACATAAAGAGTGAATGCACCTGCGTCATTGCAAACGATTTTGAGTCATGTCATTCAAGGCCTCTAACCATAAGTTGCTATAGTCTCGCTGATCCCAACCAGGTAGTCTACACCTACCAACATGGTTCAGTCCACTTGTCAGTGACTTCATGGTTTTGTGCCATGTTTTAGTCTGGCTGCCCCTAGCTTTCTTCCAACCTACTCCCACACCATAAAACATCGCATGTCGGGGAAGTTGGTGGTTGGGTATACTTAACACATGTCCCAGCCATCTCAAATGATGAAGTCTCACTACTTCATTAATTGATATATATATGTCAGTCAGCTACAACGCAGGACCAGGCACACATATGCATCGATCAAAGCTGATACATCTCATTACCACGAACAGGTTGTTAGAGTTAACCTAGTCAATAACTTGCATTTCTAACATGTCTTTAGTTTGGAAAGTTGTACAGTTTTTTAGATTTTTTTAAAACGCTTTTTCCTTTCTTTTTTGTCCTTCTTTTTGTTTCTTGTTGTAAAAGAAACTTGTTGAAATAGCTTGTGCTGAGAATTCTATATTGTACCAAGAATAGAATACTGAATAAAGTTAATAATAATAACAATAATAATAATAAACACCAGATTCATAGTAGTTAATTCAATGGTGTTAATATATAAAAGAAAGTTTACATATAAGGATATAGTACAGGAAGAAAGAATTAGTTTGTAGAAAGAAAGATATGAAGCGATTTTAATCTCTTAGTTTAAGGGAAGACAGGGAGTGTATACACCTACGCCATTGTGATCGATTCTGAGCCTTGTCACCCAGAGTCTCCAACCATTGGTTATGATAGTCACGCGGACCCCAACCAAGTAGTCTGCATCTACCAACATGGCTCAGACTAGAACTTAGTGACTTCAAGCACTGATGCCTCTAAGAGCTTTCAAGATCACTATATATATATATGCAAATGAACCGACTTATCTATTTTTGAAGGATATTCAAATTAGCAATTACAATGAATAAAAAATATGACTAAAAAGGATTTCGAAAACAATATGCTAGTTAATGCCTAATTAATTTCAGCGATAAATAGAGAAATAGAAAAAGAGATGAAGTATAAACGACGTATTAAATTAAGTCAATTAAAAAACTGAAACACAAAAGCATCAAGAATGTGAGTGAGAGAGAAAAAAGAAAAAAGAAATGAGTTCGAATAATATTGAAGAGATCTAGTTCATACAAATGAATACATGGCAATGAATTTTTAGGAAGTAAGTAACACGATAACAAGAGTATGAAACTAAGTTACTGTGATAAATATATTGATCTATGCATATTAAAATGTACTGAAGATATTAGAAGCTGAGTCTGAATAACAATATATAAGTAGATTTAATGTAATTTATAGATATCAAACATGATTGTAGCTGCCACCTTGACGTTGTGATGATTTAATCAACTAGGACTGGCTAAAAAACCAGTTCCTACAGGTTCTATACATGTCAAGCAGGTTGGTTTGAAGGCATTAAGGTTAAAAGCAGTAAACTCACAATGTGAAGTCAATGTCGTACAGAGTTATCCTCAGATAACCCTTATCTGCGGCGATGCTGCCCTTTTGCAAAGAAAGTACATGCGTAAAAATCAAAAATGCTTGACTCGACCCCACGGATTCCGATTGTTTACTATAAAACCTTAAAAGTTCCGAGATAACCCATCGAGAACTATTCACAGGCAGATCGTGTGTGACCAGCCTCAAGTAGTTGTCCCTTGAGCTATGTGGTCAAACATCAATAGTCATCGAGACCGCCTACAACCTAATTTCTTTTTAAGATACCTTGAAAAGAATGAACCATTCATGGTGTAAACAGCTAAAAAGTGACAATCGCCCCCCATACTATTAACGGTGCTTAGGATCACATTGTTCACATGGATTCTAAACAACCAAATACATTCACAGAACATTACAGATACTCTATATTGAAGGCAGGATAAAGACAATTTTCTCAAAATAACTGCTAAATCTTTTGAGTAAAAACCTTAGCAAGGATAAACACTTTCACGTAAACACTGTTTACATAAATTTTAACAAAAAAAGTCAATTTACACGATTAAGTCAATCGAAGGAAAAAAATAATCAACTAAGTTTTACGGGCTTATCAACCGTAATACAGGTTATAAGCAAAGATGCATGGTTCTTAGCGGTGGAATCCAGTAGGCGTGTTTCATTCTATTTGGGACTCGTCAGCTGAATATACCCGCATTCCACAGTTGTTGAGCACTATGGGACTCGGACCCAGTACCGTTCGCTTAAAACATAATCACGTTATCCACTTAGCTACTGAATCCTAATAACTACCTGCTAGCCATTATCTATGCTTATAATGCTTGTGAATAAGGCTAAAACGAGGCAATCCGTACAGGATATTCATATATCAATAAGAGACTGATCAATTGCAGTTCTAAACAACAATGGGAAGATAAAAGCAAACAATATCAAGTGAATTTAAACTTCACTTTGTGGTCAAAACTATCTCTTTGATGAATAGATGATTTCTATAAATTGGCTTTCACAGTAGTTATTTATCTGAAATCGGCTGATTCTTTTTTTTACCTTGAGATTATGAGCCGATTGATGTGAGACCACCATTGGAAACCTGGAGCCACTGGACGACCGGTTCGTCCTATCGTAGTACTCTTCAGCAGTGCGCATCCACGAACCCAGGGCCTTCAGTCTCACACGCAAACGTTTAACCTCCAGACCACTGAGTCGGCATTCAACGGTCTTAATGTCTAACCTCAATCAATCCGCGAAATTGCTTTATCATCTTTTATTGTACTGAGGTAGATACCTGTCTCTACCGGCCCTTGATTTGAATCCCGCAACCGGGATCGTGGATGCGCACTGCTGACAGAGTTCAACAATAAAACGAAACATTCGTCCAGTGTTTCCAGGTTTCCAGTGGTGGTCTAATAACAATCAGTTCATGATTTCAATCAAAAACTTAATAATCTCCAAAACCCTATATTGATCTTTCTTTCTTTACCATTTTATTACATTACTTATGAAAATATATTACACTTTACTAGATCAGTTTTTGACTGATTTTGTTTGTTTTGTTCTTTTTTTAGAATAACGAACATATACTATTTTGCATTAAACCATAGAACAATTTGTGACAATGTCGAAAATGAAATATATTTTTATTGTGATACACAATATGTTCTATTATGGTAACTGACTTAGTTTTAAATAGCGAATAGAATCATGAAATAGTAATATATTTAATTTTTTTTTCTATATAAATATAAACAAAACAAAAAATGAACAGAAATTTTGAAAACTGTCATATTTTGTATTTCATTATTATTATTATTATTATTATTACTATTTCACAGATTGAAATTATGAGTCAGTTGAAGCTAGACCACCATTGAAAACCTGGAAGCATTGGACGATCATTTCGTCCTAGTATGGGACACCTCATCAGTGCGCATCCACGATCCCGCCTCCCGCGAGATTCCAACCCAGGACCCGTCAGTCTCGCGCCAGGCGCTTAAGCAACTAGACCACTGAGCCAGCATCCAATGGTGTTAATGTCTAACTTTAACCAATCCACGAAATTGAGCAACCGTACACCCCTGTCTTCAGTGAGTTCATATCTCACAACAGATCACCATGGTTTTCCATGGTGGTCTAACTTCAATTGACTCATGATGATTTCAACTAGTGAAATTTTTAAAATCTCCACAAAACCCATTCTGATAATAATCATCTGCTCACTAATGACTGACTTCAAGAGGCATTTCCTGGAGTTCTAGTGAGAAGCCGTTACCAGTGTAGTTTAACCAGATCTGTTGTGAGATAATGTTTCAAATTTTATACTGTAATCGTTATAAATTTATCGCAGTTGGAGTTCGATTTCGAGAAGAGTCGTAGATGATTGATATAGAATAGGCTAACACTAGAACGAAACATTATTTTTCATTTTATTTGAACACATAAATATATTGATACAAAGGGGCACCGAATACATAGGCGCCACACAAGTCACTTGAATTGTGTGTGGGCTATGATACTGTCCGGGTTCCCAAACTGAAGTGGGTGGTTTTCTTAGGGGGCCACACCTCGGGCCTTCGACCTAAAGGTCTAATCCACAAGGCAGTGGAGCAACGTCAGGAGATGCAGTCGCATGGTAGCCGGTGACCAACGATTGGTTCATGCGTCATCTGTTTCTCTAGGATACTGCAGCCCATGTGCACCATTGGTTTGAAATGAGGGTTTTCCAACTCCTTTAGGCAGACCCTTTGTATTCACCAACCCGGTTAAAGCGCCGGTTATTCGTATTCCGTCCTCTCAATTTCGTAAACAACACCCCCACCACGAGAAGGCAGTGAGTGGGACTTCCCTATGAGCATTATCAGAGAGCGGACTTTCTCCACCCTCGGCTGTACCAAAGCATTTGGGGGCCCGGGTGAAAGAGATGTCAAGTTTACAAGGCTTTTCATAGTGTGGCCCACTAAGAAAACCACCTGCTTCGGTTTGGGGACCCGGACAGTATCATAGCACACACACAAATCAAGTGACTTGTGTGCCGCATATGTATTCGATGCCCCTTCGTACCAATATTTATGTGTTCAAATGAATAATAAATATTATGTCATTGAATGAAGTGTAACTATGTAAGTACGTTTTAGACAGTCTATCATGATTCCGGAATATTATTATATATTTCTGTGGATTCTTTTAAATATTTTACTAATCATTAAATAAAACACATATGTGAAAACGAATTGCTGTGTTCTGTGGTTCAACTAGGTTACGACACACCCTTCCAGCAGTATACCAAACGCGTTATCCAAAATGAAAAAACTGAAGTAACCACGATGGACAAGTAGACTGAGACCCTGAGTAAGTGCCTGATCAACGTCCTCTAATAGAATGTCATGTTTATAGTTTCTAACTTACCATTTGATCTTGAGATAGCATGTGAGCACAGGCAATCGATATTCATCTTCATATTAACAGTCCATCAACATAAGTGCATATATGTACAATCATACTAGACAAATATGAGACTTCAAAAAAGGATGTTCGACAATTTGCCTGACAATTTTCCCATTATTTAAAAAACATAAGCAACTCGAAGTTACAAAGATTAAATAGTTAATAATGAAGTAAGGAAACATGTTAAATAACTTACTTAGATTTATTGAATTCGGAGATAATTTTGAATTAGTTACTGGTAAATCAATACGTTCAAATGCTTCTCTAAAAGCATCCGCTTGTACACCAGAACTTTTTAATGCTTGAAATAAAGTAACTAGATAATTCACATGAGCTTCTTTTTCAGTTAATTCATCTGACAAATGATGATTAATTGTGCTATTATGATCAACAGTTTGTGATTGTATAGTTTTTCTCAATGTATCTGTTGTTGTATTTGGTGTACCTGATGTACAATTAGTCAGATGACAATGTTGAAGATTCTTTTTTTGATTGTTTAATTCATCTTCAGAGAATTTGTCCGTACAACTTCTAAAATATGTAATTAGATAAATGGAAATAAAATGAATAGACTATAATCGTGTACATTTGTACACAAATAAGCCTACTACATTTGAGTTTTCAGCAACTATTGATACAACTATTAGTTAAAATATGATATATTTTAGGAAATTAATCATATTTAGACATTAACCCGGAAAAAACTTTGTTTTAAATGACAGTGCTAAGCGTCTATGAAAAATACAACAGTATAGTGAAAGGAACATGGAGCCAAGAATCAAATCAATAAATGGCATTCGAAGATAGTTCAACATTATTAGGAAGATAAAAAAATAAACCATTGACTGTGTAATCAGTAATCGGAAGGTTAAGTGCTTTCTAAGGTATATAAAGGTCCTGGGTTCAATAAACGTCCGGAACGTGGATGTATACTACTACTGCTACTACACTAATTCCTGTCTTCCAATAGTTATCTACCCAAGATCAGTTCGAGATGTAAACTATGAAACACGCCGATAATGTTCTCACCTACTGTAATATCCATGAACACTAATTACTGATCTCTGATATCTTAAGAATTAAATTTATGTAGCATACAGATGGACTTTGTGAATTAATTACATCTCTTAGCTTGAAAACCATTATTTTTTTCTTAGTATAAAACTATCCCTATTTAATTAGTATTTGTAGATGAGGTGCTTAATAATGTATAACATGTATATTGACCACCAGTCAGAAACTGTTCGACTGATCGAAGCTTATTGGTTGACACTTTGAACCTGAACTCAGTAATAAAACTCACAGTCAAATTTAGAAATATATACATATGTGAAACAGAGGGAAAAAACCAGCTATAAACTTAATGATTGAAATGTTCAATCACCACTACTTTGATACTGAATATTGTACGTATCATTAACTTAAATAAATTTGTCAACAAACACATAGTAGATTATTTTCATCCGATTAGTATAAAGTTGTAATCTTGAGAGAACTGATACTCCCTGACGGATTCAATCCTGTGTTACTCAGCACGCAATGTCGAGTCAATTAGACTGATGGCCACATCACAATTTGGTTGACAGGATTCGATCTGCACTAAGAAGGACCTGGCATAAATGACATGGATCACTACCCAGTGATCAATCAATTGTATAAACAATTGATTTATGTTTGCGATTTCACACAACATTAGAATATTGGATTATTAGATCAGTAAGACTAAACACTAGACTAACGGATTATGTCTGCTCGTAGCTGATCTTAGGCATCAAAAACCAGTATTAGTAAATGTATAATTTATGGCAAAGAAAACAATAATATCACAAACTATCAACGAATTTAAAATATTTATAATTAATTAATTAAAGTTTTCTACAAATCACTATACCTGTAAATTGAGAAAAAGGACAAAACATAAATTTGTCCTTATGGATATCTGTTATCCGTCTTCTAAGATCTTTTAAAGGATCGAAGAGGATGCTTAAGAGTCCCTACATTATTCTTAATTAAGTTTACTTATTTAGGATATGAATTAGGAGTTCAGGTTTAGTATTTCCATCATTGGCATTAGTTATAATGCAGAAATGATCTGTAGTCACGTGAATGAATAAATTTAGCGGATAAACCCAAGAGAAGCAAAAAGATTAGTTCGTTCATAAAATATAATATTGACAATTTAATGCTTAATTCAGGATTAAGAGTTTAAGATTAAGATTTACAGATAATACCGATTAGCCCACAGATACAGAATTCAGAATCCAACACATTTAACGCAATCAATTTTACTGTATACTGGCAAACAGTAAACATTTGCCAACATTTTAAACGCTTTAGGAAGTATATAATGATATTTTCACTAACCTCTATGTTTGATATGTGAATTTTGCACAAAAAAAAACAACTAAAAACCGCATTCACCTTTACCATAAGATGAACATAAAATTTGATCTTTTATTTTAAATAGCTAGGCTACTTTATATAGTAATATAATGGGATTTTCTATCTTCCTTCATCAACCAATCACATTTTAGGATGATGGAGATATTCATTATTGAATAGAAGAAGTATTATAACTCTGACTTTAAACCATGTAGATTCTATTTCTTTCTGGACAAACGAATATCCTCTATACATTTTAGTACATCTTCATAATTTAATTATTTTATTGAATATTGACTTAATTTATTCAAAAAATTTAATGTTTTTTTTATACTTTTAAGTTGATCAGAACCTTTCCTAATTGGATTTTACATTGTTACATAATATCTCCCCCCCCCCCGATTACAAGATAATCATATTGTAAAACCTACAGCATTTTTATTCTAATAAAATAAATCAATAACTCAGTATGTTATCTCAAATATTGAATACACCTTTCTTTTCTCTTCATTTGTGGTTCATTTTTTTTATATGTGTGTTGTAACCGGGTATGTATAGAGATAGGAATGGAGTTGGTACGAAAAAAGACACTATTTTTCTTAATATGTAAAAAGTTTATTATAGATCAAATAAATTATCATTAGAAGTTATTACATAAGCTGACATAAACTCACACACACACATACATACATACAAGTGTATGTAAACACATATATAAACATAGATGTAATGTTGTTTAACCATTGATTGTCTATAAAGGCATAGTAACAATATTATACTGATGTTCTTTACATGATTTAGTGTGAAATATATATACGTGTAAACAAAGGGGGTATTAATAATTCCGATGGGAAAATGCAGAGAATCATTTTTTTTGCAAACAAAAAAACCACAATCATAAAGTCATACAGAAAAGTGACAGTTTTATACTACTATTGATGTGTGAATGCGTAAAACACCAATTGATAATCGGCTAAAATAATTCGTACACGTTTAACTGAATAAGATAATGAATGTCCAGTTTAATTATGATATTCTATAACGGTGGGAAGTGAGACAGAGAGAATGATAGTGTTATGGTAAACACACACACACACACACACTGATTTATTGACATTTAGTCTTAATAAATAATTATCACATATACTTTCGGTGAATACAAATAATGAGTGTAAAATGTTTTATGATGATTGAGTTAACCACGGTTGACAAACCAATAAATAACATTGCTTAGATTGATATCATGAATGGATCAATGTTAGATCACTACCACTACCACCACCACCACCACTGAAAACCTAGAAGCGCTGGACGGTAGTTTCATTCCAATATGGTATTCCACAGAGGCCTTCAAGTGCTTCAAGATTTTCAATGATGGTCTAACATTGATTCATTCATGATACCAATCTACGCTCAACAATCTCCATAACACCTTACTAATAAATAAGATAACAAAAAGAGAAGAGGATAATGGGTTTATATTATATACATATATACACATTATTGTTATAATAATCCAAGTATGTAAAATATGATTTATTTTTAACTGTCTAGAGCTCCATTGAAACAAAATAGGAAATTAAAAAAAACTCGATTCTTGTCAGTGTTGATTAATAAGGTTGAAAAAAAAGGTAGAATGGTAATACAAATAGAAAAATAGTCGAGTTATGGTAAAAATACAAAAAAAAATTGAAAAAAAACAAATAAAAATAAAAACAGTACCATAGAAACAAAATAAAAACAAGTTTTCATATCCAATTTATTTTCTGCAAAATAATTGTTAATGTTATGATATGTCTACTGTAAAAACTAAGTATACTCATATGATTAACATTAGTCAGAAGAAGTAATATATTGTTGAATGAAGAAGTAGATGGATAAGAATGGTCGATGAACTAAATGACTATAAAATGACATATTATACTTCCTTCACGTACAGACACAAGCATACATACTAAGATCGAATGTATAAAGTTACAATAAACTAAAATATGATCGTCAGTATGGAGTAGTGAAGATTGTTAAATTTGATTGAAATTATGAACTGTTAACCATTGAAAACCTGTGAGCAGTGGATAGTTGTTCTGTCTTAGTGTGAATCAACTTAGTAGGACACGTACACAACCCACTCCCACGCGGTAATCGATCTCAAGACATTCGGTCTGGTGTGTAAACACTTAACCTCTAAGCCACTGAGATGGCGTCGGACGGTGATGACGTCTAAATTCAATCAATTCTCAACGTTAGATCGGTTCATGATTTCAATGAAATTCAACAATATCAACAACCCCAATACTATTAATTATCATATAATCACTAGACACTAGATTCGAGATGAAATTCCCACAGTTCTATTGATAAGCCGTAACCAGTGAAGTCAAATTTAGTAAGATGTAAGACGGTTTCTTACCAAAGACAATGAAAGATGGTCACATAATGCTGTGGACTGATTGAGATTAGACATAACACTTCTGAATGCCGACTCAATGGCTTAGAGTTTAAGTGTTCATGTGCTAGACCGGATGTTTTGAGTTCGACTGTTGTGTGGATGTGTACTCCTGAGCAGTTTTATAGTAGGATAAAACTACCTTTCACTGCTTGCAGGTTTTCAATGCTGGTCTAACTTAGATCGGTTCATGATTTTAGATAAAATATAATGACTGAATAGAGAGACGAATTTTCCAAACTTGTTACCAATTGGAATGGATATTTGGGAGAAGTGAAACTTCTAGGACTATACCGTGAATAACGATGATACAGATTTTTGTTGTATGTTTATTAAATGCCTGTGTCATGGTACTTTAGTACTGATCTTACTGTAAGGTATAATTGATATTCGTTAATTGTGGTCATATTCTTTACCGTTCATAAATTATTGTTAATTACTTACCGGTCTTTTGTTCAGTTTTGGATCATTTATGGTTTGATGTTGTATATATTGGTATTTATTATCTACGATGTTTTGTGGCTATGTCCATAGATCGATTAGTATTTGAGTTATAATAATAAAGAAGATTAGAGATGAAATCTACTAGTTATCTTTGTTTTCTGTTGAGACAATGAGGGTACATAGGGAGTTTATAGACCAAAATGCATTAAGATTCTCTGATAATTATTAATGATCAATGATATTACTCGAGTGAGTGTCA